TTATTTAGGGCCTGCTGAACTCCAGATTATGTTCTCAAGCCTGCAGACCTGCATCCTAATCCTGAAACCAGATATACGTGTAGAACACCGCCCAGCAATTTACTTCCTGCAGCCCTAAGATCACACATTCTTCAAATTATAGGTCAACTGTGTAACCCTAGTGGTATAATTCAATTAGGATTGTGGAGTTGTTAGCGCAATGGTTGAAAACAGGCTTTTTCTAAGAAACACTTTTGAAAGGAAGTGTTTTATTGAGAAAAAGTTGAGAATGGCCCAATGAGACAGGTCTAAAATAAATAAACCTGCCTACTTAGCAGCAGCATAAGATAAGGACTTTTAGGGACACTCTAGATTACAGTGCTATAAAAAGGTCTACAAATGTTCAGTCAACTAATAAAAGGCGCAGCAAAGGGAGTTTGGCCCTTGTGAGTGTGGTGTGCCCAAATGCTAGTTTGAGGGTCTGATGGGGCTTTTGGGGAAATGATACCATTTGTAAGAGAGGTTTAAAATAATATTTGGACTCGCATGTCTGTAAAGGGTATTAGTTATTTTGGAACTTCCCCCAGCATTAGGTACTTTGTTTCGCACACGCTGATTGATTATAATCTACAGCAGCTTCTGGGTGGGTGCTCGGCACTTTTCGCCGGCTCGTTGCTATGACACCGGATAGCGCCGAACTCGCCCACGTGACGGGCATTTCCAGCAGGCCGCGGCTCAGCCGACTGACCACAGTGCCACCTAGCGGTCATTCTTCAAAACGATTAAACAATGTCGAGCCGCCTCCACCAGGGCCTAGGTTGCCTGTTTTCAGATGAATTAGGTTAATAAAACAGCGGGGAACTGTCTATTCTCTTCAAATTCTTATGCACCCAGTGAGGAAGGTTTTTCCTCCAATAGATGAATCATGCCACAGCAAGCAGAATGGCGAAGTTAAAGGAATTTTTGGACTGCATAGCAGAAGGCAGCTTAATGTACCCTAATTTGACATCTACTTGGTCTTCTGAACATTGAGGGGCTCGGGCTAAGACTTTCAAGGTTCCTTCTGCTCTAAACGTCTGATTCTTTGCTTCTTTTACATGTGCTTCCTAGGAGCATACCCTCCATAACCTTGAACCTGATCCTAGTCAAGAAACTCCAACAGGTTTTGGTTATATTATTTCAATGCGAGACAGGGTCCTGTCTTAGATACAGAAGTCCTGGACATATGCTGTGGCAAGCCCAAACCACCCCCACCCCACCCCCCTACCCCCCGAATCTTTACTGTTTCTCTGGGCTTTCTGCCGTTCTCGTGGTATCACCTCTTCTGCTGTCACTCTGGTAACCATCCTCTCCAAGCCGTCTTCCATCTCTGAGGCATGCTGCCTGTAGGGCCCTGGCCTCTAGGCTCAGGTGTGCCCACTTACGCATGCCCTTGACCCTGCTCCAGGTGGCCACTATCAGAGGGCCCTGAGCCCACGCTCCCAAACACCTTCTGCAGAGGCTAGTAGCAAAAAAAAAAAAAAAAAACTGATTAAGTCACTGTACAGCATATGGTGTACAGCAATTTAACTACTGGTAATAACATTCTATTCCTGACCTGAAATTTGCTGGAAGTAGATCTTTAGTGTTCTCAACAAACACTCAAAAAAAGGTAACTGAGAGGTAAAAGGTGTGTCAGTTAACTTGGCTATGTTAATCTTTGCACAGTGTATATGTAGCTCGGATTACCATGTGGACCCTCTGAGTGAGTTTGAGCAGTTTTGAGTTTGTCTTGAGTGCCAGCAAGGCAAGGAGGGCTGTGCCCACAGGAAAGGCAAAATAGCCAATGTCGTCTGGCAGTTGGGTCACTGCCCACAAGCCCTGGGTAAAACTTCCCGAGCACAGGCTGGCCCAGGGCTGGGAGCATCCTGACAGAGCTGGAATGGAGGCCCACGGGAAACCCATCTGAGCAGGAGACTACTTTTGGCAGCTAGCTTGTGGGACTGATATATTTAGTGACAATTAGAAAAATGGGAGCAATGTGAGTTCCTCCTTAACAGACACATCCCTGTTCATCCTCTAGTAATTTCATGGAATCTGGTGTCAGAATCGCCTCTACTTTGAACCCTACTCCCCTTGTCACCATTTGGGGACACTTCTGTGGAAGCCAAATGAATCCTGAGTCATAGTGCACCTCACAGGACACAGGAGTAAGATCTTATTAACTCTAGTAGCCCACCATCCTGTGAAAATTCTGGGTTTTATCAATTACGGTGAATATTCTGGGTTTTATCAATTACGGTGAATATTCTTTTTGTTGTGACTTCTGCAAATAAACCATCGATTTGGTCATCATATCTAGTATCCTCCAATTTCAGGGCTGAATGAGTCTATGGGACCCTGAATATCAAACTAAACTGAGCAAAGATACAGTAAATGATTAATATATTGAGGAAACAGCTGAACTATCACAGATAATTCACAGGCTATTAGACTGTTGAGCTCGCAATTGTGACTTAACACTTAATTCGTCATTATTTTAGAGAATTTTAAAAAACAAGTATTTGTAAAATGAGATTGTTTCACTGAATCTCCACCTAAGGGTGGTAAACTCACACAACATTAAAGATATTATGGAGTTTAGTCATCACTTGGTCTCTTTTTCTATAAACTAAGGCCTAAAGATGTGTGTATATAAAATTTAAATACACTGAATTTTAACTTTTTATTATCTGACTCTAATATTCCATTTAAAAGAGAATTGAAACAACTGAATGGGTCTCCCCATTTTTTAACAAGCTTGAGTCACAAAATTTGAGGACTAAGTGAGAAATCCATGACTCATTTTGTCATTTTCCAGTGCCATTTGCTGATAGACTAAGAATGGGAAGCAGGAACTAGAGAAAGAAAAAAAATTAGATACTATTTGTATCTTTTGAGTCTGTTGATTGAAAAAACATCAGTTCTGTGGATGTCTCATAGATGAAATATTTTATTGTGGTTGTTTCTTGCCCCAAATTTCAAACCGAATCTCTCTCGTTTCCTGTGTCTGTGAGGTTGGAACACTTAGGTTTCTTTCTTATTGAGAAAGGACTGCAAGTCCAGGAACCTGTTTATTCACAGCCAAGGAAAAGGTGGGGGACAGCTCCCCCATCTAGGTCCTTCTTTTAAGAATGACCAGATTCTCTTCCAACCTGGACTTCCTCAGGGCAATAGCCAGAAGCCCACTGAGGCCCAGCTCAAGGAAAGACAACAGACTTACGGTGTGAACAGCAACTGGGTCAACATTCCAACTTGGGCCAATCACCTAATTTTGACTCCAGCTTCCTCACCTGTGAATATATTACGGAATGTTTGAGAGGATAAAATGAGATAATACCTGTAAAATTGCTAAACAACTATAGCCACTATTTGCAACTCTGGCTAACTAGGGTGTGAAAATGCATGACTATATCTTCTTTTCAATGTGCTAGTCCTATATTTGAAAAGATTGAGATTTGGGAACTAAATCACAGACATAGAAGAGTTTGAACTTGGCCAGGATAAATAATATGACCTGAGAGAGATGAGGTAGAGCAGGTTCTGGCTGGAGAAATGGTCTCATGTCTGAGTCTCCAGAAGAAAAAAAGATGTTCCTGCCCCTCACTATCTGGGTATTAGGGAGAAGGTAGCCAAAGTCTATCTAAATTGCAGAGCACAGAGAAATGTCATGTCATTTCTCTCAGTGGCATTTTCTGGGCTTGTCTAGCAAAGGCACCTGCTTACTTGCTTGGATATAAATCAAAAAAGGGAAGTGTTCTCAGCACAGACTCGATGAGACACAGATGTGAGGAAAACATCGCATTGATTTCACATTTTTCAAGTATTGTCAGTTTCTTCAGTTAAGGGAGTTGAAATAGGAAGAGTGAGAGATAGAGAGCGGATAGATAGGTAGTTAAGTCGACAGATGGAGCTCAGTAAGAGAGAGAGCAAGAAGAAATAGGCAACTATAAGAATTCTTGTCCTGATTAAAATTCTTGCCCAGCAGGTTCTAGTACAGTCCAGCAAACAGAGTTCTTGTCCACAGCAGATCTAGGCCGGAATTCAGATGGCTACTAAGAAGAAGGTAATATAAAATTGTATATATTACTAACTCTGGTAAAATGTTGCTTAGTAGGAGAAACACAAGTCTCTGAAATGTGTGACACGGGATTTCATTTGGAACGTAAGGGCCATAGTCATAAAATTTCAGCATGGGGAAGGAGGAAAGAAAACAAGAAAAGTAAGTTGAATCATTAATAGGAAAATAGAAGATTCTTCTATTAACAATAATCATTAGGGGTCTCCCTGGTGATGCAAGGGGTTAAAGTGCAGCACTATGAAGCTATCTCCAGCTACTGCAGCACTGAGTTCAATCCCTGGCCAGGGAGGTGATCCACACAGCGCAGCAGACCTCTCCTGTCTTGCCCGCTGCTCCCCTCAGCAGTGTGTTTCACTGGATCTGCCTGTTCTGCTCCTCACTATGTCTCTGGTGAGTTCTCTCATCCCCCTACACCTCTGGCCTGTACTCCAGTTCTTGTATGCATAAATAAATCTTTTTTTAAAAAAGAATCATTAATAAGCCTGTGTGCATGGTTTATGCTTACTTGACCTAGTGGTATATAAAAGATCAGAAAGCAGGTCCTTGTTTATGCACGTCAACTAATAGAGCAAAAGGGGCCGGCTCAAGGTCAAGGTTCCCCCTAAAAAGCAACCCATAAACAAGCCCCATAAAAACTATAATCAGGGCCCTTCCTGCTGGCGCAGCGGGTTAAAGCACTGCACTGAGAAGCTAAAGCCACTTCCGCAAGAGTTCAATTCCTGCCTGCCCCGGAGGTGACCACATGGCGTGGCAGACCTCTCCTGACCCGCCCGCTGCTCCCCTCAGCGCTGTACTTCATAGATCTGCCTGTCTGCTCCCCACTTCACTGGTGAAGCCTCTCGCCACCCCTGAGCCTCTGGCCTGTACCCCAGCTCTGTATGTACAAATAAATAAATCTTTAAAAAATATATATATAATCAGTAAGTGAATGTACTTTACAAAATAAAACGTTTCCCTCAAAAAATAGAATACATATAGATAGCTTCTGTTTTCATAGTTAAAGCTTTTTAATCTCTGGCACATAACATTAACTGAAAGGATTCCCAGGAATTAGACAAAAGTATTTGGTGGATTCGAGTTAATGGGCCAAGCAAGCTTTTTTTCCTTGGCTTCTCTATCAAATGAATCATAGATGGAGTCTTTGGTTATACTTTTGGCCATGGGAGGGATTTCTGAGATGCCAACATAGTTTTTTTTGGCCATCCTTGAACTGGTTGTGATTGTATAGGCATTGCTTCGGTAACATTTCATCGAGGACATGCAAAAAGTCTCTTTCATTCCTCTCCTAAAATTTGCATTATAAATTGAATACAGAGTAGGTTTAGACGCTGAAGAACTAAAGGAAATCCATGTGATTGCTGTGAAAACAAGAGAACTTTTCTTATAGTCCCGTTCATGTGGGTGCCACAGCTGAGCTACATGAAAAGGCAGCCAGGAGAGCAAAAACAAGAGATTTAAAATGAGGAACATCTTGATCGTTTTCACTTTTGTCCTGGGGACAATGTTCATTGTCCTCCTCACTGTTCGGCCGTCAGTGCCTATTCTCCAGATATACTTTATGACCTTCTGGTAAAATAAGATGATGAGGACCGATGGAATCACAAAGCCCACAGAGAAGTGGACGATGGTGTAGGCGGTCGCCTCCCACGAGGCCGGGAGGAAATAGTTACAGTGGCGGCCCCAGCTGGAGCCGTAGAAGAAGAACACAGGGGTCACAAATGCCGCATCGAAGACCCACGATGCGGCAATCATCTTCTTGGCCTTCTCCCTGGACACCTTGAAGCTCAGCGGATAGACGATGGTATAGAAGCGATCTATGCAGATGGACAGCAGCACATAGATCTGCACGCCGGGGGTGACATACTGGAAATAGCGCACGACTTTGCACATGGCGCTGCCGAGCGTCCACCGGCCGGCGGCGAACTGGAGCAGGACAAAAGGCGTGCTGGCTACGCTGAGGAGGAGGTCGGCACACGCCATGGAGACCACGAAGTAGTTGGTGGTGGACTGAGTCCTCCGGCTCCTGTGGATGACCAGACAAACCAGAGAATTGCCAAAGATGGAAAACAACCACAGGGTCCCGAAGAAGATGCTGGCTGCGGCCACCTCCCCGGGTCTCGGTGCGAGCTGCGGGCCTGTCGCGTTGCCCACCCAGCCGCGCTGTGCATTAGGTTCCGTCAGGTCCTGGCTGGGCAGGGGTGTGCCTGCTTCAGGGCAGCTGTGGTTTGGGGGCGGCACTAGAAGGGTGGGAATGACCAAAGGCAGCTGGCTGTCTTCCATTCTGTGAGCAAAAACCATATTCACCTTTTCCCTTTTAGTTCTGGATAAGGAAAGAAGAAGGAGGCTTCCTGTTAAAATGCTGTTAGAGAGTGTGACCCCCAGGCTAACTGTGATGGGATGGTGAGGCGGGTGGGCACAGGTCAGCCAATGGGACTGGAGCACTGGCAATAAGTCATGACTACCATACTGAGAAAGCTCTGGCCCTGTATCTCTTTCAGTTTCGGAGCTGCTCTTGCTGCTCCCGCTCTGAATCTCTCCCACCTCCCCCTCTGTTGACCCGGAGCCCAGGCCTAGAACTCACACCAACCCCCACTCCTAAATCTGAGTGCTCCCTTCACTCCTTAGGAATCACAGAGGGCTGGGAAGCTCAAAAGTGGCCACTGCAGAGCTGCTGAAATCTTGGGAGATGTTCCTGAATGCCTAACACTCAACTAAAGCTGCAAGAGAGGAAAACACAGAGCGAAACACACAGACATGTGCTGTGGAAATAGCTTACAAGACTGTGACTACAACCTGCCTGACTACTGGGCAGGACTAGGTCCTTACTGTAGAATGTCCATTACAAAACATAATGGAGGCACCCAGAGCAATAACATTTCCACATGGGCCAAAGTAGCTCCAAATTTAATGACACCTGAAACAGCTTCCAAAGCTGTTCGTTCATGTACAAATCACTTGCAACCTGCCCATGACATGGTTCGAGGCTGTTCTGTTCTTACGGTTTCATAAAATGAAATGCTTGTAAAGATCAGGCTTAGTGAAATAAGCCAGAAAGAAAAGGTGAAATACGGGTGGTTTCTCTCATAGCAGGAGTATAAAGGACCAGGGGAGAAAATAATATTAATAACAAACAACTATATACCAGAGACATTTTGCGGGGTGGGGTGGGGAATGGGATCAAAAACGGTGGGGGGAAGGAAGTGCACTGGACTATGGTGATGGCACATGGGTAATTTGGTGATGGGAAGCCCACGGGGATTACAACTGAGATGGGAAAAGGCACAAAATGATGCAAAAATAAACTATACTTAAAAAAAAAGAAATGTTTGCCAAAGCACATACAAGTTAACTTCTAAAAAATATAACCAGATTATTAGAAACTTCTGTCAGTCCCAGGATTGAGAACAACTGAATAGAGCTATTACTCGGTGACATTTTAGCCCTTGGTCTTCTTTAGCTATAAAAGAATATTATCAAGTTTAGCCTTTAACTTTTTTGGCATGCTGTTCCACAAGAAAAACAAACACACATTTTAATATGTACAAAGATTGGGTCATTGTGGGCCATTCTATTAGAATTGAGGTGACTTCAATGGCATTGGGATTATTAAGATTGAATTGGGTCTGAACCTGTTAAACAGGAAGAGAAAGCGCAACAGCTGAACTGTACACCATGGCGGCTGCCGGCATCAAGCCCTGGCCCGGCCGGTGTCCCTGGTGCTGAGCCCTGTGGCTACACCACGCCAGAGGTATTTCTGAAATTTTAAAGATAGGATTACAGAGCAGTTCTTAATGACCCATTGTTTCTTGAGGGATTTTTATACTAAATTGTGGTAGGGAAAGGGGTGCTAATATAGACTGTCCTCACTAAGAGACCACACTCAAGAAAAATCTGGTGCTCAGGATAATGAACTAAATGCCAAGTGCATGTTACCTTCAAGTATTTTTGTTCAGTTAAGACAAAGCCCTGCTTAGTTCACCAAGAGAAATATAATTAGACACTCAGACTACCAAGAAACCTCTAAGCTTGTCTAACTGATAGTTTATCATGAGAACAGCAAACATACTTTTCCACACAAAAAACTGGATACAGTCTGAACACAGCACATAAGATCTAAAATCAGCATTGTCCCCCCAAGTCTGGGTTATATGACTCTCATGCTTACAAAACTGAGATCACCTTTTCACATTCATATTAGCAAAACCTATAGGCGAAAAAACATTTTCACATTGTTTTGCAAATTTTAAAATAAAACAGCAGTTTTTCCAGACAGAAAGCAGTGTTTTAAATTTGGGGTGATGTCCATGGCCTAATAACACCAAGGTCGTTAGCACAGGCACTTTTCAGTAGTCAGTACACATTCTTCAAAACCTGTGACCTTCCCTCTGTCTCTCTTCCTCTCATGGCAAAACTCTGAAGTAAAACTAAATTCACCGCTACCACTGAGCTTGGAGGAGGCTGCCTCGCGGCGTTTCTCCAGTTACCTCCGCCAAGAACATTTCTGCCCATTTCCCCAGCCTCCAAGGGCCCAGAGGGGCGGGGAAGGACTTGCATCTAGGTCCCTTGCTGATGGCTGACTCGCCCCCAAATTGCTGCGACTGTTAATTCACTCAGTAAACCAAGAAACTCCACTAGGTGCCAGGGAGACAAAGTCAGACCCTAAGAGGGTCAATGTCTAAATGATCAAGCAGTCTGCCACATTGTAACTCATTCTAGAAATTTCTCATTTTTGTATTCATTTTTTTCCTAGAAGAAATGTAAGAAAACAAAGTCAAATACAGACAAGGAGCTAACTGGCAGAGAAAAATAGGGACCAGGTTTCCTGGGGACGAGGGCAGAAAAGGCAAGATTTCATAAGGGAGGTGAGGTTGAGCTGCGGGCTGGGGGCTGGGGGCTTGGAGGATGAACACAAGGGAGAAGCAAAAATTCCGAGAGAGAGAAAGAGAGAGCAATGTGGAATGAATTTGGGCCTTTTCCCTTTAGAGACAGTTTCCCGCAGACAATTCATTCATCCAGAGTCGAGTCCCTAAATACCCTACAATCAAGTTGACCTAAATGTCCCCATCTTCCGCATCCGGGGCCTGAAATATGGTCAGACAGGAATACAGACATAAACCTCTCCAGAACCACTGTGGAATCCTGTTCCTACAGCACTTGTGAGCCCTACACAGCAGCTTTTTCCAACTTTCTTTGCCTTTAGTGTAATGGTTCTCTAGCTTAGCAACACATTGCTCAATACCAGGGAGCTTTCAAAAACCATCGATGCCTGGGTCCCTTCCCCAGGAAGTCAGACTTCCCTGGTCCGGAGTGTAGCTGGGGTGTTCTAGAGTTCCCCAGTGATCCTATGTGCAGTCAAGATTAAGAATCACTGCTTTAGGATCTCTCCATTTCTGTCCCCCCTCAACTTGGAGGACAATTCCCTTTTCCATGCTCACAGCTTCCACTGAAGTCCTTCACATTAATAACTGCTTATTAAATATTGACTGAACTGAATCCATACGGACAGACCTGAAATACACGATTCCGCCTCTGTGTGGCTCCGCTGAGAGAACTGCAGGCAGGCTCTGCCACCACTGTCTATTCTCAGGAAGCAGAAACACCGGTGACCATGGAGATGGAGGAAAACCTGACTCCAGAGAAGAGCAACGCTCAGGTCAACTGCTACATGAAACAGAACTCTCATTGATGAGAGGGTGAAGGTCGTGCAGGTGTCCCCAGACAGACTCCTGCACCCCACTCCCAGGAAAAAAAGTCAGTCATGTTATAATCTGGAAACAGAAATTTCCACAGTAGGGTTTTGAAAGACAAGAACAGCTGCATTAGTAATTATGTGAGGGTCATGCATACGCAGTTAGTTTTAGGAGCCAGTAAAGACTTCATTTCTTTTCAGCTCAATCTGTCTCTCCCTAATCAGCTCGAAGACTGACATATCCCCTTGTTGAGTAGTGAAGGCCCTTATTAACATAGATCTCTATCTGTGTGCCACTTCAGAGCGATCACTCATCAGGCCCTAAGAGATGTTTACAAATGTAGGTGAGGAAATGGTGATGGGTTGTCATGGATGGAACTAGGGAATGGCAGGAGCACTGAGGCGGTGAGGGGGCAATGGGGAGCCGGGGAGGGGAATTTGCCTTATTACTTTGTACTGGAATATTGTGAATGTTTGTTTCCCTCATTTGGTTATGAGTTCCTTAAGGAGAGACACTGTGTCTTTATCTCCACAGCCCTGGGGCATACAGATATTCACAAAGGTTCAATGAATAAAGAAATGGAAAAATACGTTCATAAGAAATATGTCTAGTACTGGAAAATAAGGCAAAGCAAAACAGCCTTTTTACTGTCAGGCTGGTACACTGGTCAACGGGCTTCCCCAAGGATTAATTCCTTGGGAGTATGTATGTATATGTGCTTGATTTTGCTATCGCTTTTTGAAAGCCATACTTTGGTGGCTAGAAGTAATCAATAATTGGAAACTAATGAGAGGTCCATAATGAAGAACAGAGAGGCACAAATGACAAACCTTGTCACCTCATGACTCTGCCCAGGGCTATTCTTGGCTAAGTATACTGATGGCTGAGTAGATTCCAGACTCAAGAAAAACCCTAAAGAATCATGTTTTTCCTTCCTGAAATTAAAAAGATTCACAGACAGGGCCTACCTGGTGGCACAGGGAGTTAAGTTTCAGCACTAGCACTATGAAGGCAATCACTGCCATTAGGAGTTCGATCCCCCCCTATTTCCCCCTAACCCCCTCCCGTACCCCCAGCCTGGGAGCTAACCCACAACGCACAGAAGACCTCTCCTGTCTCCCAGCTGCTCCCCTCAGCAGTGTATTTCAGTGGATTGGCCTGTTCTGCTCCACACTCGTCTCTGGTGAATCCTCTTACCTCCCTTTACCTCTGGCCCATACCCAGCTCTTATATGCATAAATAAAAAAAATAAATCTTTTTTTAAAAAAAGATTCACAGACATTCTCACAATGTAGGAAGACTGCTGTTAAGGACTTATTTCTGAGATTTATTTTAAAATGTAATAAAGTAGGCCCTCCCTGGTGGCGCAGCGGGTTAATGCACAGCACTGAGAATCTAAAGCCGCTTCTGCATGAGTTCGATTCCCGCCTGCCGCGGAGGTGACCACATGGTGTGGCAGACCTCTCCTGATGCGCCCGCTGCTCCCCTCAGCAGTGTACTTCATTGATCTGCCTGTTTTGCTCCCCACTCTGTCTCTGGTGAAGCCTCTCACCACCCCTGCTCCTCTGGCCTGTACCCCAGTTCTGTATGTATAAATAAATAAATCTTAAAAAAAAAAATGTAATAAAGT